TTATGTGAGTTTAAAAAAAGAGATGCAGGAAAAAAAGGGTTCTTGAAGGTGACCCTTATGAGAATGTTTTAAATATTTTAAAAAGCTGGTTTTACTATTTTTATGTAAAAGAGCAAATTGCTATTTGTAACCCACTTCTGTTTCACTTTTTCGTAGGGTCATAAGAAGATTTAGGTTGGAATGGACCTCTGGAGGTCTCTCGTCCAACCCGTTGCTCAGAGATAATCACTCACATGTGAATTAGCTTTTCTTTAGAATGATTTTGGTGAAATACCTTAAATCTCATCCATGGGGTTCAAAGGAGAAGTTTTCTGGTCCATAGATTGTGTTTTTTGTGATCCTTGTGCTATAGACAGACAAAGCTTCCCAGTTCTGCAGTTGTCACAGGAACTCCCTTACAGCTTGCTGGCTTGTCTGGGCAGTGTCATCCCACATTGTTCTCCCCTTCTCAATCTATGAATTACATAGCAGATACTGATCCAGGTTCATCAGGGACTTAACATTTAGAACTGCCTTAAAATTAAAATGCTACCTACCTAATGAGATCGGAAGGAAGGAAATCTGACAAGCTACGAGTAAAGGGCAAAAATCAGGGTCAGTGGCAGCACAGCCTAAATTCTGAACTCTTCAATGAACCACCCTTGTATAACTCTGATCTGCATCCATGAACACTAAGCAGATACCCTGACATAGGCTTCTAGTGTTATTGAATGTGCTGTGGGATATCCAGGACATCCTTGTGGAGTAAAAGATACATGATGGAGGACCTCCAGGAGACCTGTGCCCTTCTGGACCAGCACCTAGAAGCCAGACAGGATAACATACAGGCTATTGGTGCCATCTGTCACGGACCTATTTGCAAGGCAAGACTGGTGTTAGAGCTGGTTTTGCTGTGGTTGTGTTCTGCCTTATCAGGCAAGGCTTTAAACTAATGTAAACAAATTGACACAAATTTATGTATAGAGTTAGTTTCTCAGTAGTAAAATGAGACAAAAGACCCGGTAGACAAGTTGTCAAGTTTTTGTAACTTAATAGTGCATGTTATGTAAACTGTTTCATTAATTTTATCATGCTGGAAAGTACAGATTAGTAAGTAGTTTTTAGCCCCTTTTTAATGTTGGATTACTCAGAGATAGTGGTGAGAGAATGTTTAACCAGACAGACCATTTTTAACTGATTGAAATGAAAATGAATAGGAACTCCTTATTTACAAGTGAGTAATAACTCCTACCTGATTCATAGTGAAGTTTTAGCTGCCCTTGGCTTATTTTGAGACAGATTATTTTGAAAATCAGTATTGAGAAGCGAGCATCCCTTGCTGAATAAATTTTGTGCCTTTTGCGTCAAGAGCCAGTGGCATGAAATGAACAGCTAAAGACCAAGTCGAGGACTAGAACTCGGTTTCATTGCATCTCCACTCATTAGACTCATAACTTCATTGGTCCAAGGACAAAAAAACCACAGAAGAGAAAGCAAAATGAAAGTAAAGGCAAAACCTCTTCTTTCTGGGTGTCATTTCGTTTCTTCATTCTGTGGAAGAGAGAACCCAAAGGGTTATCTGCTGTTTATTTAACAAAGGAAGCACCTTATCCAAAAGTCTATTTAAGAAGCCTGAAGACTTGAAATCTGGTTTATATCTCCCCATGTCAAAGGTGGATTTGGCTTTTTGGTTCTGGTGTTATAAATAGCATAAAGGCTGTGCTCTTCAAAAGGTACATAGCTCTCCTGTAAAACAGACCAGTATGTTCAACTGCAGTGGTAATCTTTATTATTGTGCTTTTTGCTACATTTCAAAAGATATTTTGTTAATTTTATTTGTCCTCTTTATAAACAAACACTTTAGTGAGTCAGCTACTCTGATCAAAGATTGTCTATATGCTATTATATAACAAGGACCTGTTTGGTTTTTTTTCCCCCTACCATTCATTGTCAAGATGCATTTCATCAGTTAAGTAAGTTATTTAATGGTAAGTCATAGCAAACTAACTATATTTGAGAGCAGTAGACAAAAAAGCTTGAATTTGATGACATTTCTTGTTAACTGATTTTGTTCTTGAAACTTGGAGGGGAGTGCGTTTGGGCTGCTTTTGCAAAATACTACACTCTTATGGAAACTTTCCTTTATAGATTGATGCCTAATGCATGGGACAATGATATGCCTCCTTCCAGAATGTTATGGCTGTAATGATTAGAGGTATTGCAATTTCTGTCCTGAATGCATTCAAGAACTTTATAGCTTTTTGTTTGTGTATCCGAATTTTCTTTTAGTTCAAATAGTTCATATCATTCTTTCTCTTCTTCCTCTCTCTCCTCCTGTATGTTTATTGACCGGGGTCCTATATTTCCTTTGACTCCTGTAGCTAAGCTAGATAAACCAGACCACTTTAGTCTTCTCTTGTAAAACAGAGAACCCTGATCATTCTTGTAGCCAGTTCCTTAGCTAAAATCTGAGTTCATCCTTCTTGGCCACGTAGGACAGCAAAGGGCGCTGAATGTAGGAAATCTAAGGCAGGGAACAGTGCTGTAGCTCTGAGACCACCCTTCCTTTCATTATGTAATTCTCCAATGGATTAGCTTAAGCTTTCCTCTTTACCAGTGGCTTCAAGTCTTTTGAAAGAGAGAATTGCTTTTGGTAGTGGTAAATTGTGGACCTTAAAAAAACCAAGACATAATTTTTTTTGGCCCTTTTGCACCATAAAAGGGTATTATATCTGACTCTACAGTTTGTGGATTCTGTATTTTAAAATAGCTGGGGTTTTCTCCATCCTCACAAGAGAGAAGAGAGGAATGAAAGACAGGAATATTGATTGAATAGCAGCCTTTTTTAATTTTTTAAATTTTTAAAAATTTTTTAATTTTAACAAGCATATTTTCAGCCAGTTACCTCTGCGCGTTTGTGTATGACTGTAGTTATTGTATCTAACTCTTCACTTCATTGCAGGAATCTACTCAGGCATTTTTTAATGCCACTTGGCATATAGTCTCCATGCACTTGAAAGCTTAAGCACTGGTGGCTTCAGGAAGTGTCAGACAGCTACACAACAGCAGGGATTGCCGAGACTTGTTGTTGCCTGGGTGCATTCAACACTTTGTTTTTATGCCAGCCACACTGTCTCCTCTATTTCACCGTTATAGTGGATTTTGCTCATAGTTTTCTTCCTAGCTTTGTCCACAGTTGTACCTCATTCTCAAGAAAAATGTTCCTCTCTCTCATGTTAGTGCTAATACAGTATTTTATCAGAAGTGATTTCAGCATGCATAGCTGTATGTTTGTACTGTTGAGTTTTATGGCTATCTTTTTGTGTATTATGGGAATATACAAGTAATGAATTATTTTCTGACTTGTATGTTTTTGTTTCTTTAAAACCATTGTTTTGTAAAAGACTTTCCTTCCTCTTTATTGATATGTATTCATAACAATTCCTTATTTCAACATTACCTGTTGAATTTAGAACTTTTTATGAAATGATTTCAAGTCAGTCTGAGCTGGCTGTTTCAAGGTTAACTAGTGGTAATGTCTTTTATATTTATATGTAGTGGTAAGACTGAGTGTCAGTGCAGAAAGATCTCCCTAGTCTTGGTTTCAGATTTGATGCAGAGTTCAGTGCTTGCTCACTAGATCTGTGCCTTGAGAGGAAGGCACAGAAGAGGACCAGGGATCGGACAGTGTGTCAGGGTCAATCCTCTGAACAAGAGGATTGCAAACAGTAACAACTTTCTCCGATTAGAAGCATTTGGACTGAGGAGGGTATACTTACTATTAATTTTGTAACAGTTATATAGTCTTGGAAGATGTGAAAATATGTGCTTTGATTAAGGAGGGAGGCGAGTGTTGTCAAGTCAGGATGATTCATTTAGGGTTTGTGAGTAACCAGCTTAAATGTGGCATCCCAAGTCTTTCTGTGAATGAAGGTGCTAAAGAATATCACCACCATATTAGTTTGTTTCTCTGTTCAGATATCTCTTAAGAAGATAGCTGAGTAGAAAGCCGAAAAACAAGAATGTTTATTTTCCTACAATTGTAGCACATTTTAAGCGCACTTTCCTTGCCCCTTTTCCCATGCTTTTATATTCAAGAGTTGACTTTTACATTTAGGAGTTGGCTTTAGGACTGGTGAGCAGTGTTTGCTTAGTTCAGGCAACTAAATACATTTCGTACCAGACCTAAGTGACCGTCAGAGAAAAGAAGCAGCTAGCTGGAAAAGGCTGGGGGACACAAGCAATTCAGTGTGAATTAGGTAGCCACTTGTGCATATTAAATAGTGAATTCAAGATTTCTAATGTTCAAATGGACACTTCATGTACAACCCATTAGCTAAAATATGATCAAATAGGTTGTTGGTCTCAGTATCCATTTTTAAAAATCAGAAAGCAGTAATGGGCAAGAGAAGTGCTAAATTTGAAGAAGGAATTGTTCACAAAATAGTGCAAGTGCTGAAGTTCCTATACTAAGTGGTTATTCATCATTGTGCCGTGTCAAGAGAAGGAATGATGAATTTCCCAATGAGTGTGCATCTTGCTGTTGAAAAAGGTGGGAGGCTTTTCTCAAATACTATTGGGTTAATGAAGGTCTAGAACAGAAAATCCTCTTTTTATGGCCAAGTATTTACCTCAACACTATACACTGAAAGCATCAATTTGTGTGTCTGTAACCTTGACAAAGAACAGTAGTACAAGCTTAAAGGCCCAGATCCTTAGCTAGCACAAATTACTGTATGTTTTGAATTAACTAAAAACTTATGCATTATACGAACAGAGAGTTTAGACTGGTGTGTTTTGGAGAGAAAGGGTATTATAACAGGCAATTTGAGTATGCCTCTTGAAGTAGCTATGTCTTATTCTCCATGGCCAGATAGTTAGAGCTTAGAAAATTTGAACATGGAAGACAGAATGGAAGAAACAGAATGCCCAGAAGGGCTTTTCTGGAATAGGAGGAGCTGATGGATCAGCAAGGTTGTGCCAAGATGTTTCACTCTAATCATTTTTCTTTTGTGTTTCAGCCCTGGCCCAGTGTGTCCAACCTGGCCAAGGATTTCATTGATCGTCTGCTCACAGTGGACCCCAGCGACAGGATGACAGCCCTTCAAGCCCTGAAGCATCCGTGGGTGGTCAGCATGGCAGCCTCTTCCTCCATGAAGAATCTACATCGTTCCATCTCTCAAAATCTTCTCAAGCGGGCATCCTCCCGCTGCCAGAGCACCAAGTCTGCACAGTCCACCCGCTCCAGCCGCTCCACCAAATCCAACAAGTCACGACGGGTACGGGAACGGGAGCTGCGAGAGCTCAACCTGCGCTACCAGCAGCAATACACTGGCTGAGCATTGCATGGGAACCTGCCAAAAGTCTTTCCAGATGCTTTCCTGGTGGTGTGGGTGTGCAGCACCCCTTGCCACCCACATGCTCAGTGAGGAACATCCAGGTTCTTCCCTCCCTTCCTTCAAGTGTCCCCCCTGTGGCCATGAGGCGTGGAGGAAAAGGAACCTTGTGGTGGTCATCGCACCTTGTGAGCACTCCTGGGTGAGTTGTGCCACAGGGTCTCAACGCAGGAAACAGAGTAGCAAAATCCTTCACTGAGTCTTTGTAGGCTTAGAGCAAAGTTCAGAGTCTCAAGTTATATGCAAATCAAGGAGCCACATAAGGAGAAGAGCTCCCTCCATAGCCCGGGAGCTTGGTTGTTCTTAATTATTTATTAATTCTAGAGTGTTAAGTTTCTCTCATTTCTGTATTAAAAACAAAATCACTTTATGTGTGTATGTGTGTACGTGCACATGTGTGTGTCCACGTATGCACATGTAGATGTATATATGTATTTAAAAATCACATATATGTACAAATTTTGAGCTGATTTAGTCAGACTTTGTGACGCCTTTGCAGTGAAGCTGGTATGAGTCACATGCAGTTAGAACCAGGATAGCTCTGACTCACCAGCATGCTACCCACCAGCTTCTCATCCTGATACAATGCTGAGGAGATGCCAGATAGCAATTTTCCATGATGGCTGTGAAGCTGAGAGGTTTCCCTCAAGAGCTACCATTGGCCCGATGATGTCAAACGTTTACTCAAGTTGTGTGAGGGTTGTTGTGCAAACTGGCAACAGTGCTGAAGTGCTGTCAGCTTGGAGCTGTGATCTAAATCCTTTTATCCTCACTGGGTGCTCCTGGTGGAGGGGTAGGAAGAGGATGATCATCCTGCATGAACTTCATTGTGCAGAGAAAGGCAGGTTTTGTAGAGGTTCCTTGCTATCCCCCTTGAATTGTCCTCCAGCAGTTCTCCATTAGGGGAAAGGGGCTTGTGAGTTGTTACAGAGCGGCTATAAGGAACAGTATGTAGGGAGGGCAGAAGGGAGAGCTCTGCGCTGTAGGGGCAGTTATTTTACATGTCTTTTGAGGTGTAAACACAAGAGCAAATGCAAGCACTCGCTTTTACTAGTAGGGGCTTTTTTCATGTGTGCAGCAGGACCAGTTCCTACTGTGCAGGGCTCATTCTTGTTGCTGTGACTTAGCCCTTTTAGTTCTGCAACCTGTTATGCATCTTGCATCCTTCAGACCTAGGTTTCTGACTCTTACTTCAGCACACCAAAACTTTACTTGTTCCAGGTATTGCTCCCTGCCTCTCGATTTTACTGCAGGGCTCCCCTGCTCTGCACACCTGTTTTGCCCCTGTGTAGCTGTTCCTGCTCTGGAAAAGTGAAATGGTGTTAGGCAGCCATTGGGATGGCCACAAATCCCTCTGTAAGATCAGGGTGGGGGCCTAAGTAGCAGGGGTCCAGTCCTGGTGTGCTAGTGGCAATAATGCTCAGGAGACATTGCACAAAAACCTTCAGCTGTTAGATCTAGCTTAAATCCAGCATGAAAATCTTCTTTTCAGGTTGCCTTGTGCTAGCAATGAGGGAGGCCTCTTGTGAAGGGCCTATCAGAGAAGATGGGTACTGTAGAGCTGAGCTTTGCACACGTCCATTGAGTTACTAGTCAGTGCAGCAGAGCAAGGCTGTTGGCCTGTTCAGTCTCAGGGCAGGTTTGGTCGCTTGCAATAGTACAAACAAGATCTGCAGTGAAGGTAAATGCTGGTTTTTGAAGATTTGCATATGAAGCTATGCAGTTTGCTTCATACTGTGCACTTAGGAAGTGCTTTCTCAGCTCTGGGCTGGAGAAGTAGTCTCTGCACATGCCTAGGGCCCTTAAGGGGCTGGCAAGCATGGCCTTTCCACGCTAGGATTGATGTCTGTACTGCTGTGTTTTAGTGTTAGCAAGGTAGTAAGTGGTCTGTCGTTTTTCCAGGAAGCTGTAACTCCTCTGTCCACAGCACTCTTGCTCAGCAAACAGCAAAGCACCACAGCTTCAAAGGGAGAAGACTTGAGTTTTCTGTGCTAAGAAAAAAGGGAATTTCTGAGGATGCGTTTTCTACCCCAGAGCTAGGATGGGCCATAACTTCTGTGAGCACATCTGGGTGTTCCCAAGCTTGCTATGGGGAACATGAGTGATGGAACCTGAGGACAGCACTCTCCCTCACACATGTGTAGTAGGAGAGAATTCTAAATCCTTTGAGTGGTTTTACATATGATTTTGGAAACTCTAGAGCCTTTGCAGGCTGCCCTTTTTCTGAGTGGCCATCCTCCCTTGTCACATATAGCCTTCTCTTTCCTCCATCAATATTAACTGATATCATCATGGAGTTATCAAAAACTGTTTTTTTTTTCTCCAGTTCTATGGACTACAAAAAAGATTTCTTTGGCTTCTTTTACCCTTTCATGTAGTTTTTCCTGTTTCATTACCATGTATTAGAACTACAAACTAGACATGTTTTCTAACAAAACAGGCAGCTCACCAATTTTCTTCATAAACAGTTCAGTGCCCCTCATTTTGCTGCAAACAGCTCTTCAAAGCGGCAGCCACTTCAAGACAAAGACAGGTATTAACTGGAAACTGATTCTTACCGTACACATTAAGAGATGGCAGAATGCTCTCTCAGAAGGCTTCTGTTTTTAAGCCGCTCTTTGTAACTGCTTTCTACAAGTATGGAGCATCACACATAGCCACTTTGATCTACATTGTCTAGCTAGGTGTTTTCATGGCCCTCCCCAGATTATCAAGCATATTTCTCCTTAAAATAGGTATTTTGCCTATGCAAGTCAGTCAAACTGATGAACTGAGCCAAGACCTCTAGAATCTGAGACCTTTCCTTTAACCACTAGACCTTCTACATGCACATTTTATACAGGCCTGTACCCACAATATTCCTTCATGCTTTCCCTTGTGAGGGATAAATGAAGGTGAAGAGAAGATCAGCGTGTTGAGTTCTGACCTGACCAAGCTTGTTTCTCTACCTTCAAAAAGCAGAACAAGGGTCTTTTCATCTACAACAGTTTTTTCTTTATTGCTCTTGAGCAATTGGATTTGCACCGGGAAAAGTTGTAAGTGATGTTGTTTATTATAAGTTTAGGGTGGAATATGTTTTTGGAAAAAAACGTTCATATCACTGTCAATTTTCTGCAGTGATGCTCTATGACCAGGAGGTCAGTTGACAGAAGAGAGGATCCTTCAGATATATGAGCGATACTGGATGGCTACAAGTTGCATCTCTGTTGTATGGAGATGCGTCTGATCCTCAGGCATCACACTGATTAGGGAACTGAACCAAAGAAGGACCACGCCAGTCCCATAAGGGGCTTTGAAATTCTTTTTCTAGAAAAGTAAATTCCCTTTATGCAATGTTTTCTCTTGCATAGAAAAAACAGTGTACACATGAGGATAGTCTTTATGTGCTCTCCTTTCATCATTTGATTATAACAGCCTTGGTTCAAACCCTCTTTTTTTTTTTTTTTAATTCAGTATTTGCAGGAACTCTTATACCCAGATAATAACATGCATAAATGGAGAGACTAGCAGAGCTCCGTCCAAGTGTCCTTTGGAGACCCCCGGTGACCTTTGTATTTTCACTTTGCCCAGAAAGCCGTGATGGTCCAAATGCGGCAATGCAAGATTCAAGTTAAGAACAATTCCTGGGGTGCTTTTATCTTTGGATCTGTTAAGGGGGAACAGCCAACGTGCTGTAATTTTGAGCACTGGTTCAGGTGCCTGCAGTCCACCCTCTAAGAAGCTCTTCACTGTGAATTGTAGTGAATATCTGTCTTCATATATATTCCACAGGCGCATCTCAGCTCTCAGTTTTTCTTGAGTCTCAGGAGTTTATGCTTTTCAAAAGTGCCTTGTTTGGGGATTTCAGAAGTTTAAATCTCTCTGAAATTTCTCCTGCTCTTAAATTTTAAATCTCCTTCTTTGGCTCTTAGTGGTGGTTCTGAGTTTGGCTCTGGTGGTTTTGGAAGACTTTCTCTAGTGCTGAATTACCCGGAAGAACGCAGGTAACAAAAAGCGCATGTCCCAGGCGATGGCTGAGTTCTGGTCTTGTGTGTTAGCTAGGGCACAAATCTCAGTAAATGAGCAATTTTATTTTCTGTACTTGTGTTAATGCAATGAAAATGAAGCTGGAATGACACCTAGTGGCAAATTGCAGCGTATCCTCATCCATTTGTATCCCCCTTCTAATTATGTTCCCCCTGTTTCAGAGTGAGATGATCTTATAAAGAGGAATCGGGGTTTGGTATGATGAATAACAGGCCTGGACATTACCACACCAGCAGTCCTAGGTGTTCAGCAACGTTCACAATGATATGTAGATGATAATGTCTTATTGATGACCCGTCACATGGCACTCCTGTACTGATCATTAATCCTGAAGAACAGGCTTTTACCGCACAAAGGTATGAGCACATATTCACGTGCACCCACAAGAAGGGGACTCAATACTGGGGAACTGACACTGTGCAGTGAGCCTGCCAGTGCCTTGAGGAGACGTTCACAACCACCCTGCCTTGGAGTCACATCTCAGGAGACACTAGGAAAAAGCAAAGACTGAAGATGCTGAGGCTAGAAGCGCAAGGATTTGGACTGTCTCCCGTCATGAGACACGATGGAGCAGCTCAGTGGTGTTGCTTTCCAGCATATTCCGCTTCAGGGAAAAGCGATTTTAAGGTGTAAAAGGAAATATGTTTATTTGTCTTTTGGAACTTAGCGGTACTGTGTAAAACAATCTCTCATCTTGACCTAGGAGTTTGCCTGCTCTCTTGGGGAAGAGAATTACAGCTTCCAAGAATATTGCCTATTGCTTCCTTGATATTTTGGAGGGTTATTGGAAATGAATGTTAAGAAGGTCTTCCAGAAATGACATGAGGTGGTCTTCAGACTATTGAGCTTTGCATTCAGGTTTTTGAATACATAATATATTTTTCTACATGTTTTGCTTAAACAGCAATCACTTGTCTATGTTTGATTTACTTCTCACCCTTCTCAGGCTTCTAAAAACTAACATGTCAGATGAGTAGCAGAAGAAACCTGCATTCCTTCAATCCAGAATAAGTCTATGTGATTTAACACTGAGATTGTGATAGCATCCAGATGCTCCTGCCAGTTCCTGGACTCTGTTGTGCTTGGAAACATACAAACATACATGAAGGACAGCTTTGTAGCCTTGTGATACATGTAAGCCCAGACAAGAGTTCTGACCCGCTGGCTTATTTAGTGATGTGGAAACCAGCTGCAGTACAGTGCCAGCATTAGATATTTGTTTTGGAAATGATAAACTCTCAGACTATTAACTTCTTTGGAATTTGGATCATTTCTTCCTTTAGTTCAGATATTTTGTGCTCTGGTAATTTACATTCCATTTGCATAGCCTGCTACATTCCTTGATCCCACTTCTACCAGAGCCGTAGTGTTTGGTTGAAATACCAATATAGTCAACTTTCATGTAATGCACAAACTAGAATATGACTTGTGGATAACTCAGCTACTGGGGCAGCAACCCTGAAATTGGTTCTACAGGAGCCATGCTCAGTCCTGGAGCAGTGACAGCAGTGTGACAGCAATTGTGTTGTGCTTTGCAGGTGGGAGAATGCTCCCTTTGAGGATCCCACAGTGCATTAGCCTTCACCTTTCTCTGTGGCCTCTCTATTATATATGTTCTTCTTGTCATTTTGCAGGTGTGCATTTACCTCGTTAGGGATTACTCCTGTTGTTCTCCTGCTCATCAGTCCCACACTGGGGCAACTGAAGCTGGCTGTATGAATGTAGGTGCTTCCCTGGGGACCCATCAGTTCTGGTGGAAATAATCTGAGAATAGTTGAGGATGAACTGAGCAGGGTTGTGCACTTTTCGTCTCACTCTGATAACTTGGTTAGAATCTAAATGAGCTGCCCAGTGTGGGACTGTCTCTGTAAGAACCCCAAAGTGAATCAGGAGTGAGTGGGCTCACTGGAGAGGATGGCCCTGCTGCTACCTGCCTGTCTCCAAGCACAACTGCTGCTATTTAAATTCGCCGCTTTACTGAGTGTCAGAGGATGGAGTGGGGAGCAGGATAGAGAGGAGGCAGGCCACTTGTTTCCATCCTGTGTTGGTGTGGTAACTGTATTATTTTACAGCAGCTATCCAGGTGGGTTCTTAGGGTGTCCTGTTCCCCCAGCAAGTGTTTTCTTGGACCGTGTCTGTGCTGTCTGTCTGGAGTACCTGGGTTATCTGTACATGCTGTCGTCATTAACGTTTGTAGAGGGACAAACTTGGGAAGAATGGTCAGCAATAATGTCATATACTGCTAGTGCAGATTGCACTGTAAACGGAGACATGAGAGTCTCTGATCACTGTTCAGACCGTGTCTTATTATATTCTTCCTCTCTATCAGCACATTTCTGGGTAGGAAGGATGTAGCTTGCATGTCAGAATACCATCTGTCTTTCCTTCTTTGCTGTCCAGCCAGCCTGGTGATGTGTGTGAGAGAAGCTGTATGTGTGTTTACCATTATAAAGAGATGATCTCATACTATGTATAACACTAATAGGCCTCTTACTAGACTGCATGGGGCCACATTCCTGTTTTAGGTGATCATACTACGGATTCTAAGGGCCTGGGAGGGGGGGGTTGATTTTTGTTTTTGTTTTACAATAAATTAAAATCTCAAATTTTTGACCTAATTTAGTAGTCTAAATGCTAAAAAGAAAAACTGAGATTGTCTTTTGGGATCAGACCCTCTGGAGGAGTCACAAAATGTTAACTGTTATTAGTGTATTCCAGATGGGCCTTTGGGTGTGCAGTGAGGATGGCTGTATACTAGTCTCCTGTGACCCCACGCTGTCTGCGGGCCCAACTCAGATCCATCCTGGAAAATGTAACAAAGTGCCTGTACCACTCGTTGCTGGATACCCAGCTCAAGGTGGTATGCACCACTCTTGGGAGGTTTTTGATGCTTTTTCTGACCGCTAAGTCTCCTCTTTCAGCCTGGATTAAAAATGCAGCTTTTCAGTGCTCCAGAGGCAGGTGCCTATGTGTCGGATATGCATTATTGAGCAGCAATAATGCACGACAGAGCTTAGTACCCTCCACCCTTAAATGTCCCTTTGGTGGAGAGAGCATGGGAGGCAGCAGGCTGCTGTCTGCCCAATGATGTTTTTTCTTCATCCACTTGACTCCTGCTCTCCTCCTCTGTACAGTAATACTGTAGATCCCTTGTGTGTGATGGACAAGCTACTTGCTGCTGTTGCAAATGTATTGCACTGTGTTTGCTGAATGTGGAAAAATCCTGGTCCAAACTAGGTATGTGTGAGAAATGAGCACCTACCACAAGCACACACAGATGCTATGAGTTTTCCTTTTGCCTTTTACTACAGAAAGACACCTCCCAGGAAGCTCTCAGGACAGGAGGTCTTCCGGTGCTTGCTGTTATTTTTGGTTGACAAATTTCCTGTACTGGGTTGGAGCTGCTTGGAAGTACTCCTGTCATGTCCTGTTAGTCTCCTAACAGGGGCTGTTTGCCTTGAGAAGTATCCAGTTCTGTGACTTGCCTTTGACTCCTGTTTTTACACTAAGGACTGTCTTGTAGAATGAGGTCTGAACCATTGTAATTAGTCTGTAACATTATGATTAGAGTGTACAGAATTATTTATTTTGTGTACTCAGTCCGTTAAACATGTAAATGTATTCTGTGTATCTGATAACCCTTTTGTCATTACTTCTGGTTGGTGGAGCGCAGTCTGACTGCAGAAAGATGCTGCTTTCCAGGGTATGAATGTACTGAAAGCCGGGAGCTTCTCATTCCTCTTGCACCAGAGCAAGAAAGTACCGAAATGTCTGAAAAGAGTTTGCTTATTTCTCCTGGTTTCTTAACTGTACCTGCCAGGAGCTGTGCAGGGGATGGGATGTCCACTGGGGTGACTTTTAGCTAAAGCTCCTGTTTGCAGGGCTTTGAGTTGGGCACTCAGTCTCCTGTTGGAAGTCGTAGTTTGGATGCTGAGCAGGCACTCCTGGAAATTTAGTTCACTTTTCTTTGATTGCAAGGTGGCGAGCTGGGCCAGAGAAATATCTTGGCTTGCACGCAGCAACTGTTCACCTCTTCAGTTTCCATCTGAGCAGCTTCTATGGGCCAGCAGAAAAACCTGTAATACCAAGTGAAATGTGCACTCCTTTTGAACCACATCATCCAGGAAGGGAGATGGTTTTTCAGGGGCAAGGGACCCTGTCCCAGCGATGGTAGCATGACAGTGACCTGAACTCAAGGAGTGAATAGCCCGTAGTGCTGCAGCTGATAAATTCCTGTTTGATGCTCTGTGAGCCTAGGAGTTTCTTCTGCCCATATGCCCCATCCTCACATCTCTGACATCTAAGTGTCTTTAAGGCTCATTTAGGAGCTAACTAAAGCCTAAAAAAAATATGCTTGTTTTGTGTGACGAGCTTTATTTCAGGTGCCTCTGAAGCAAAGCACAGTCTCGGTGTCATGGTGGACCACTGGGGCTGGAGTGTACCTAGTGCAGGTGCTACTGCCTGCCTTAGGGAAGATTTCCTTGACTGAGATCTGCAAGAAATTCAGCTTCAGTGCCCTTTCTTCCCTACATCCCAGACCTTCTTTTCAAGGCAAATGAGTCCAAAGCTGCTACCTTCAGAGGCTTCTCACAAACCCCATTTCCCAGTTTTCAGTTTGCTCCAGTTGATCTTGCACCCTGCAAAGCACACCCCGGAAGCTGACCACCTGTGAACTGCATCTTATCAGCCCTGGGCTATTTCTTAGCTCAGCCATATGTTCCAGTCTCTTTTTGTCTTTACTCCCTGTTTGTTATCTATAACACCCCCTACCCCAGCCCCTGTAGATACAGTTTTGTGCGTAGGCTTGTGTTTTTTTCTGGGACTGCAGGATTTGAGAATGAATGCAGCATTTTGGGGGTTGTGATTCACACAACAAAGGTTTTCTATTACACTCACATCACTGGTGAGGAAAACAAACCCCGCACCTCATGCTGGGGCAGCCTGATCCTGGTCCCCTCAGTGATGTCCTCATTACCAGCTCTATTCTGAGCTACCAGGAACCAGTTGTTACTCCATCGAACAAGTGTCTTGTTACTTCACAGAATCACAGAATCGTTTAGGTTGGAAGGGACCTCTGGAGATCATCTAGCCCAACACCCCTGCTCAAGCGGGGACCTCTAGAGCACATTGCCCAGGATCACATCCAGGCGGGTTTGGAATATCTCCAGCGAAGGAGACTCCACTACCTCTCTGGGCAACCTGTGCCAGTGCTCTGTCACCCTCACAGTGAAGAAGTTTTTCCTCAGGTTTAGGTGAAACTTCCTGTGGTTCAGTTTCTGCCTGTTGCCTCTTGTCCTGTTGCTGGGCACCACAGAGAAGAGGCTGGCCTCATCCTCTTGACACTCCCCCTTCAGCTACTGGTACACATTGATGAGATCGCCTCTCAGTCTTCTCTTCTGCAGGCTCAACAGGCCCAGCTCTTGCAGTCTTTCTTCATAGGAGAGGTGCTCCAGTCCCCTCATCATCTTTGTAGCCCTCTGCTGGACTCTCTCCAGTAGGGCCATGTCTCTCTTGTACTGGGGAGCCCAGAAGTGGACACAGTACTCCAGGTGAGGCCTCCCCAGGGCTGAGGACAGGGGCAGGATCACCTCCCTCCACCTGCTGGCAACACTCTGCCTAATGCACCCCAGGAGACCATTGGCCTTCTTGGCCACAAGGGCACACTGCTGGCTCATGGTTAACTTGTTGTCCACCAGCACTCCCAGGTCCTTCTTGGCAGAGCTGCTTTCCAGTAGGTCAGCCCCCAGCCTGTACTGGTGCATGGGATTATTCCTGCCTAGGTGCAGGACCTTGCACTTGCCTTTGTTGAACTTCATGAGGTTCCTCTCCGCCCAACTCTCCAGCCTGTCCAGGTCCCTCTGAATGGCAGCACAGTCTTCCGGTTTGTCAGCCACTCTCCCCATGTCACTCAGCCACTTCCATGTCACATAAGTTTTTTTCTTAAATCAAGATGACACATGATACTGAAGCGAACACCTTGGAAAAAGCCACATACACCTGTCCAGCTGCCTTTGTCCAGCACCTGCCATTGTCTCAAGAACGTGTTTGTGTGAAATGACCACTTTCTTTTGAAATGGCCTTGAATTTTGTTTCCATCCTCAAATTTTATTTTGGGAGGGCCTTAAATTTACTGCCCTGTCAGTTTGCTAATCTGCATATGCTAACCAGCAAGTCATTCTCTGGCTACTCCCTTCTAACTTTCTGAAGAGCTAGAGCCGCCTCTGGCATTTCTCCCTTTCAGCTCTACGATCCTGGGACACAAGGTACTGCTTTAAAATCTGGGCAGTGCCCACCATCAGCCATCTGTCCTTTCATTCGATGCAAGTCCAGAAGAGCTTACAGGTGGCATGCCTGGCAGGCTGCAGCTCTGTAGCACCTTCCCAAGTTCTCCCAGCAAAAGTTTGCATGCTGGTGCCTGGATGTAGAGCCATTTGCTTGAAGAGACCCTGAGCAGCCTTTGAGCCATGGCTGGCCCTGCTCCCTGCATGCCTGTGCATTTTGTCCTGCCTTCTGCACAACCCCCTGCAGTCCTCTGACATCTCTGAGCTCAGCAGGTCTCAGCCAGGCATCATGCTGCAGCTCTGGGAGATGCAAGGATTTGGGAGAGGAGCACCCAGGTATGTTTCTAAGACACCGACCCTTTGCCTAAGAGAAGGCTGGACAAAGAGGTGATGATACAGCGGGTTAGTGGTGGAGGGCTCATTGGCACACAGCAACGCTGCATGAATGATCATCTTCTCAACAGCATGGGGAGCTGCGGCTGGGTGTGAGCCCCAGGCTTCCCCTGGCGCCTCATGTGCCATGCCATGCCAGTCTGCGCTGCACTGAGGGGAAAGGAGCAAGATGCAGTGCCTGGCACAAGCAAACACAGACACTTTATTACTCTGTGGAGCGGGGTGCCTGACTTGCAGCTCAGCTTCTTGCTGGTAGGCCCAGAGGGACTGGGAACCTCCACTGAGCTCCCCTTGCCTGAAAGCAGAGTGCAGCAAAGGGATTGCTCTGGCACCAGCTCTATTCCAAAGAGACAATGTTGTTGATCCAGTTTTGGAATTGGCTCACACGGGTGTAGACTGCAGGAATACGGATGTTGCAGTTGCTGTTTCTCCAGGAGACGATGCCAATCAAAGTCCAGATGTTCCCATTCTGGTATACGAGAGGTCCCCCAGAGTCACCCTACAGAGAGGAAACCTGCTTAGTGTGCTTCTGCCCTGCCAGCTCCTGGCAATACCAAGGTCTCAGCAGAGGCATGGGCCATGTTCCACACTGTTCCCTGCTGCCCTGAACATCCAGTCCCACTAGGTGCTACAGTTTAACCTCAGGCTTCAGGGACCCAAGACCCCGTGGATCCTCCACCTTCACCCTCCAAGTGCAGATACTGTGGTGCAGAGGGAGTTCGTCTCCTTACCTGGCAGGAGGAGGTACCAATCCCCCCAGCACAGAGCATGGAGGTGGTGATCTGGTTGCCCCAGTACTGCATGCCCTGGCTCGAGGAGATCAAGAACAGGTCATCTCTAGAAGTGCTCAGGCACCTGGGCAAGCTCACATTGGTACTGCAACCCAAGCACCATGATGCAAAGCGTCTTCCCCTTCCATGCAAACCTACCCTGTCTTCCCTGTGCATGACCACCATTGTGTGAATGTGCAAGTAGGCCAATGGAAGGGAACCCTCGTGCCTAAGCACAAACACCAGTGGGGATGTACACGCCTTCACATCCTGCACATACACATGGCTGGACAAACAGGTACCTACATCCATACCTGCATCAGTGCACAGGCATGCACACCCAGACACATTCACTCCACCACACAAGCCCACGACCACCCTAACCCTAACCCTAAATGACAGGCTTATCCCACCAGGTTCCCACAAGTAATTTTGCACCTGGATG